GAATCTATCAATTTTTGGCTGATTGTTACAGCTGATTAAATAATGAATTGTTTTAGTATTGAGCCATGATTATCACTAGAAATGCATTAATAATCTTTATTTCAATAATTTAATATGTAGAAAAATTAAAATAGATTACATACCCTTCTTTTTCTAATAAGCAACGAGCTCTTGTACGTAATTTTATGGACAACTGATGAATTGCAGAAATAACCAGACTATCTAAAGCCTAAAAAAATCAAATGGCATTTATTATTTCAAGTAGAAAATGAATTTTTATTAGATAAAAGAACATCAATAAATTATTTTAAATGGTACATTATTTGACATTTACTGAAATACTTCAGTTAGTTATAATAAATACACTAATATCTATATTCACAACTAAAGATCAACAGTTAGAGTTAGAAGTTAAACAATAAGTGTTCATGTACTAAACTTAAAGCAAATAGTAACTGATCACAAAGAACTATGAATTCCATAATTCAAATTTAAAAAGAGAAAAATGAAATAAAAAGAGATAATCTGCAGAAATAAATATAAATAGGAAAAAATAAAAAAAAATTTCCCTACTATTTATTTGGAATATCTGATTCTCCTCATTTTTAATATTTATAATTTTATTACAAAATATATATTATTTCTTCACATTCTAGTAGATAAGAATAAACTGAAGTACTAGTACAAAAAAAAACTGAAAAATGGAAAAGTTATGTTAATTGTTTTGATTATTTTTGAACCAACTGAAAATTGCTTGTAACATGTAAATAAAGTAATAACTTCTACACTTTTTATTGACTTGATGATAATACTACATTAAGAAAAATAAGTTCTTAATTTTATAAAAATAATAGCTACTGAGTAATTATATTTTATTAAGTATTTTGGCATTTTAAGTTTTAATTACATTTATTAATTGAAAACTTATCATAAATTTCTTTAAATTCTTACCTTCCAAAGACTGCTCAACACGTTTAAGATTTTTTAAAATGCTTGAAAGATCCCTGGTGAGATTTCCTTCATTATGTATGTTAGATTTCTTCTCCACAACCTGAGGTAATACTTCTTCAATCATTAATCGAATATCACTTTTCTCTGAATATTTTTGCCTAAAATAAAGAAAAAATTTTAAAAACTGCATTAACTTACAATTGTAATTTGAACTTTATAAATTAATCATTAGTGAACATGTTCAGTAGAATTTTATGCATATAATAAGATGTTTCTTTAAATTAGAATTGAGACTGCCTAAAAGTTACAGGAAAATCCTTATTATCTAAAATGATAAACCTGCCAGTGAATATGCTACTATTATATTGTAATTCATAAAAGAAAGTTTAAAACAATAACATATTACAAATTAATTTGTTTCTGTTAATTATAAGTTAAATGATAAAAAGTATTTTGATGAGAGATTCTTAAAACTATTGTTTGTATTTACATTATACAGCTAATACAATAACACATCTTTAAACTTTGTAAAAATTCATGTTCTTATTTGATTAAATTCATTAAGGTATAGAAAAAACTTAAAAGTGATACTATATAAATAGTTGATGCAGACATTTTGGATTAAAAATTATAAGCATAACCAAACACTCAGATAAAAGGATTTATCTAAGGTAGCATCAGTTCATATTACCTCTAACTGGAGTTCTACTATATTTTTTAATGAATTCACTTTAAGAAACCAAAACAAGTTAAAAGACAATCAGAATTATGGAATTTTTTATTTTAACATAAATTAATTAATTAATTAATAAAACTGGAAGCTGGGCAAGTTGCTTCTTGGAGAATGCCCGCCTCAATGATCAGGTGCGACCCCTTTTTATATGCATCCCACGTGAGAACAATCTCAGGTGACTTTGACTTAATGTGTTCTAAGTTTGAGATGTGTCTTTACCTTGGCCAGAGCAGTCTGACTCTTTTTTCCATATAAGGTAACAACTTCAAAATTTGTAGACATCATCAATGAGGTGTTGGGACTCTTTATCACTTCATAATTTACTCCATTTGACAGTTTCCCATCATTAATAGGCAAACATTTGACTAAGGTTGTAACATAAGTCCAAACATCATAATGAATGTTGACTTCGATAGATAAGACTGATCAAATATCCTTCTGAGTATCGCAAGTGGGTGAAAAAAAGAAGCGGAAGAATTAGGTCCCCCATTTCCAGACTAATTAGAGAATTTTTACATGAGTCTAAAAATATGTTCGATTTCCTGCAAAAACACAAAAAACCACCTGTAAATTTTGCATGCCGCTTTATATTAACACTTCCTTTGTTACTCAACACTTCCATTGTTGACACTTCCATTGTTACACATCTTTGAAGTCAACCACTTTCAACCCCACATGCAAGAATTAGGTCCCCCGTTTCCAGACTAATTAGAGAATTTTTACATCCAGTCAAACAAACTATTTTCAATTTGATCAATTTTCTGGAACGTTTACAATCATTCTATAATCGAACCAATTCGAATTTGAAACGGTTCAAACATTTTTAAAATCGAAATAGAAAATCTTCGAAGTCAACCACTTTAAGCCCCCGTATCTCCCGTACCCTTATAGCTATCGAGATGCAACCACCATAGTGCATGAATGGAGACTTGGGGCTACTACCACATAACACCATTCATGTGCGATGTGTAGTTTTGGCTGAAAAGTGAAATATAGGAACACACACGTCCATTTATATATATATATATATATATATATCATATTGAATCTATCAATTTTTGGCTGATTGTTACAGCTGATTAAATAATGAATTGTTTTAGTATTGAGCCATGATTATCACTAGAAATGCATTAATAATCTTTATTTCAATAATTTAATATGTAGAAAAATTAAAATAGATTACATACCCTTCTTTTTCTAATAAGCAACGAGCTCTTGTACGTAATTTTATGGACAACTGATGAATTGCAGAAATAACCAGACTATCTAAAGCCTAAAAAAATCAAATGGCATTTATTATTTCAAGTAGAAAATGAATTTTTATTAGATAAAAGAACATCAATAAATTATTTTAAATGGTACATTATTTGACATTTACTGAAATACTTCAGTTAGTTATAATAAATACACTAATATCTATATTCACAACTAAAGATCAACAGTTAGAGTTAGAAGTTAAACAATAAGTGTTCATGTACTAAACTTAAAGCAAATAGTAACTGATCACAAAGAACTATGAATTCCATAATTCAAATTTAAAAAGAGAAAAATGAAATAAAAAGAGATAATCTGCAGAAATAAATATAAATAGGAAAAAATAAAAAAAAATTTCCCTACTATTTATTTGGAATATCTGATTCTCCTCATTTTTAATATTTATAATTTTATTACAAAATATATATTATTTCTTCACATTCTAGTAGAGAAAATAATATATATTTTGTAATAAAATTATAAATATTAAAAATGAGGAGAATCAAATATTTCAAATAGAAATAAAATATCAGATATAGATAAAATTGCATATTATATATATATTAAAAGTATTCTCTATTAAATGAATTGATTATAATGGCTAAACATGATAACTGCTAAGTTTAAGTTTATTTTCATTCACTTACTGAAAGCTCTTTTTTACTTGAATTTTGCTGTTGCGGTGAACTTTTTCCTTGTGATAATTTTTCTGATCCTTTCTCTTCAAAACTAGAATGCTATAAGCAAACAAAAGAATGTTAAATATATTTTAAAACAAAGACAAAAATTTTAGGTATTTTTAGCATATGAACAGAATAAAAACTGTGAACAAAATTTTAATGATTACTTAAGAGTGAATGATAATTATAATAATGAATTGGTTGTAATAATTACATCAACAAAATTATTACTATAATTATAACAACCAGTTAGTTCATTATACTTCACATCTCTTCTTTAATAATATCTTATGTTAATGTATTTTTAATGCAACATTTATTGTATGGAGAAGTTATCTCTTGCTATATGGTATTGCAGTATTACTCTATTATTATTATTATTTATTTATTTATTTATTTATAAAGTAATCAATATTCAAAGAATATTGAAAATGTTAAGGTTACAAAGTAATCAATATTCTTTGAATATTGATTACTTTGTAACCTTAATATTTTATGCTATAAAATGAATGAACAGAACTGAAAATAAAGCATAAGTTTTGAAAATTTTTTCCCATTAATTTTGAAGACTTAATTTTTAAAAACAATTGACAAACTTGCATCAGTTTTTCTTTTATATGTACTATAATTTGAAATGTTATTTGTGAATTGAAAGAATAATCCCAAAAACTTAAAATCTGAAGTTAAAAATTACATGACTTGTTGCTGGATTTTTTTAATGAAACAAAGCTTTAAAAGTAAATATATGACAAGAAAAAATGTCCAAAAAGTACTTTTATATAATATCATCATCAGCAACCAAACCCACATTCAGCAGAAAGAATAATTACTAAAATTGCCAATAATATGTTTGGATGCTGAGACACACTTAATGCATAAGCCTAATGCATAAGCCATCCTCAAGTGACTGATTTTTGGAATATCAGTTACAAACTCTTCCAAAGTAGAATACAGTAACTATAGACTATTAGAACATTAAATTTTAAATATTTGAATATAAATACAGTCAATTCCATTTAATTGGGCTACCGGTTAATTGGGGCAGCCACTTTATTGGGCCAATTCTCAAAGAATGGAAACCAAACTAATAATACATAATTTAAATGCTTAATTGGGACAACGTTTTGCTTACTTGGGACAATAGCTGAAAAGGAATTTAGCAATTTTTGATATATTTTAGGGATATTCTGAAAATATGTCAACACTATGTACATTAATGTCATGTTTGGCAGAGACAAAGCAATTTTGTCTTTCACTTGGGTGGTTTGATTTTTCCAGAGGGGTAAAACATAGTGGGACATATCACACCGAGATCCCATCTGAGGCAGACCTGAATGCAAGCTACTGACCCTTCTCTGGATTGGACTGGACAATCTTCTTAAAAGCAAAGGGACAAAGACTCCTGGACAATTTTTTGAGGTCCTTTGACCAAGTTGGAAGACAGCTAGAGTTCCCTTGGGAGGTGTTGTGCATGATTACATGAAATGTAGACTTGGACAGCAACCATCCAATCATTGGGACCAGCATCTGGAGCTGTTGGATTCTATGGATGCTCCTGCTGAAATGAACCATCTCCAAGTAAAGGAAACTGTGCTCAAAGAAAAGCTGTAAGGTAACTTTTGGATGAACCCAGACATGTTCTAACTAAAAAGGGTTAAAAGAAAAGATTGAAAGATGAACCCTTTGTATGTCATTACTAATATTTGGCAACACTAGCATGATGTGAATCAGTTATCTATCATCATGAGTCAGGCAAATTTATAGTACAATTATTTTCTGTATTTTGGTTTAATAAAGCATTAAAATGGGTACCTAATTATTATTTTTTACCTACATATTACATATTTTATTTTAGAATTTATTATTAGTTCGTTTAATTGGGGCAGTCACTTAATTGGGCCAAAATGGATTAGTCCCAACATGTCCCAATTAAGCAGAATTGACTATATAACATTCCAATAATTCCAACATAAATAGTAACATAAAAATAAAAAATTAACATTAAATTCTAACATAAAAGTGAAGTAAAATAAAATATAACTAGAATTGTAAATTTTAAATACAAAGTATATCTTAGTAAATGTTGTAACTAAGAATTTCTACAAAGAAGCTTGTTTTTTTATAATGAACTTTCACTTTCATGCTGATGGCAATCTTTTGCATTAATATATTTATTATTCAACCTGCTCTTTATATATATTAATTTTTTCAGCATTCAGTGTTAATGTTGGAGATTGTAAAGTCTTAACTATCTCTGCCTCATCTCATTTTACCATAGAGCTTTCAGCTTGTGATATCTGGGATAATACTGTATAGCAAGGCCCTCCTTTTTTTTAATACTATATTGATGTTCAAGTATAATTTCCAAATCTCTTTTGGTGACTCCAATATAATTCTTCTTTATTCCTAATTACATGTTTTCATAAGATATCTTGTACCCACCTGGGGGCATAGTCTAGTCACTTATCTCTCGTCTTTTCTTTCAAGGACAAATGACGTCAAAATGAGAGACAAAATTTGTCTCTCAGAGACAGCGACGATTCTGGTCACTTTTAACGACCATGATTTTACTAGGTTGATTATACATATTTGGGTTTCCTCCCAATATGTATAATCCTTAGGGGCTACTTTTTTGGTAAAATGTAGTCTGCGAGCGACTATGAATATGGGCAAACAATTTTAGGATTTTTATATGGACATGCGTTAACATTCATTTGCATTGTTCATCGGGATAAATACAAACAGTATGGGTACGTTGCACAGACAGTCTATTATTGTAAGAATAAATTATCAAATTAAGATTTTTAAACATTAATTTAAGTGAAAGAAAATTGTTCAACTTTAGCTTCACAGGCTATTTTCAAAACCTTTGCGGTCGACCGCAGTCTACGTGTTGTCTATCCCTGCCATACAGCCTGTATGTTCCTAAGTGATGAATCAGATATTTCTTCTTTTTGGGTAGAGAAACTACTGCTGCTCAATAATTTGGTCTAACTGTAAAAGTAATTTGTTTCTTTCTGCTGATGAATCAGCCATAATTGATTTAACTGCCAACATGATGGCAGTTAAAGTGGCCAGATTTGAAGATGCAATTTATCTTATGTTCCATTTAAAATTATCACATTTGAGCTAAAATTGACATAAATATATAAAAATATTAATCTTGGATCTTTCCCAATTGAAAGAATCTGAAAATTGTTCTGGTTCATTTTAGTCATTTGTAATAAAATACATAACAATGTCTTTGGCATATATATTGGTGTTAGACTCGTTAAATGAAGTGTTTATGTGACAATAAAAGCACTGATGAAAAAGAAAAGCAGCCTGTCCACTGACAGAGAATGCCAAACACTGACAGTTGGCAACTATGATTATGGAATGAGACTAAGAAGTTTTTAGTAAAATATGAGAATACATAACTATTTTCCTTAGCCTAGATTCATCACTCTGCAATGTTTTTCTTATCTCCAAATTTTGAAATTTTCTTGTGTTGAAAAAAGACAATTTAAAGCTACAAGTGTCATTAAATTGCCATGTGATACAACCATTAGTGGTAGTAAATTAAAAAAAAAATGTTTTTAATTAACAGCTCTAAATGAATAAGNAGTTAGTATACATTTGTTGGTGCATCATACTGCAAAAAATAATTATTATTAATGTTTTAAATAAAAAAATTAATATTTATCAGTTTGAAAATGCACACTATTAAAATAATTAAACGTAATCAAAATAACAAAACAAAAAATTCTTTTTACAACTTTTTCATTTCAGCATGAATTAAGTTTACTGCCTCAAATTATACAAATTGGTTAATTTTTATTAAATCCTTATTTCCTAGTTTCCTTATTGACCATGTAAATTCCTTATGTAATTGTCAATTTTAAAATTTGACCATAAATTTGATTACAGTATAGTTTTGGAGTTTTGATCAATTTGAATGTTCCATTTTAAGTTGGTGTACATCATCTAGATTTTACAAAAATCAATTTTTTGAGAAAAAAATCTCATTACTAACAGTTTATTACTTTCATTTATAAAATTAAGAATAAGAAAACATTATAATATAAATATACTAGATATAAAATATAATATAAAATAAAAATACTACATTCTGTATATAAAAAAAATATACAGGATGAAATATGTTTAAAAATATTACAAATTGAAGACTAAATACAAATAAAAATTTGATGTCTTCACAAATTCTTCACAACCACAGGAACACAATTAACATGAGCAGAGTTGATCTTTCCTTTGAGGAATTCCTTTAATGAATATGTAAGCTGATCGGTTTACATGTTTGTAAGCAGAAAAGAGCCTTAAAGGAAACGTCAACTCTGCGCCTGTTAATTGTGTTCCTGTGGTTGTGAAGTATTTGTGAAGATATCAAATTTTTTTTTGTATTTATTCAATTTGTAATGCTAATGTAGGTACATATTAATGTAATGGCAGTGTTCAAACTGATGTTTAAATTCATGTAAATACCAATATTTTAAAAACCTATTTAAAATACTTTTAATATTTCATGCATTCTGGAGTATTTGAAATAGTAAAAAGTACAGGGTAGGCCAAAAGTCCATTATCATTTAAAAATGAAAACTTTTTTGCTATTATTATATTATATTTTTTTTTTCAGATTTTTAAAATACAGAATTTGGAAATAAATTATGGGTAAATTAATGCCAGAACAACATACAGCTATTAAGGCAAATTTTTGGAAAAACAATAATTTCCAGAAATGTGGAGTTTTGTTGACAGTCATGTTCCCCTGATCTGATGGCCCCAGATTTCTTTTTATGGGGATATTTGAAACAGCAAGTGTTCATTAATAAGCCCCAAACTCTTGCTGAGCTGAAGGACAGTATTTGTTAGGAAATTTGAATGATTAATATAGTCATTTTGCAAGCAGTTATGGAGAGTGGCATAGAAAGGGCTCAACTTTGTGAAGAGGAAAATGTGGGTCATTTAAAATTGTTTAGGCCAAAAAAATCTCCAAGATGTGTACATTATAATGTTAAAAAGAAACTTATATAATAATTAAAAGTAAAAAAAATTATTTCATTTTTAAAAGGTAAAGTGACTTTTGGCCCACCCTGTATTTCATATATTTTTTAGTATTTCAAATACCAAATATTATACTTATGTTGAGTATTTGAAAAT